ACTCATATCATCTACAAAGTACAGGCTGCTCTGGGGTTCTCTGAGGCTTCTTTTTCCTGGCCAGGCTTGTCGTGAGTCCTGGCCCCTTTGGTATATCAAACACTTCCTCAGCAGGTTATATCCACGTCGTGTGTGCATCTGATTATCAGTAGCTTTGTTGCCCACTGAGGAAAATGGACCCTCCCTCTCCAAGTGACCAATAAAGGCAGTTTAAGGTCATGCTGCTGCTCTCTGTCAGGTGGGGCTTGGGCCTTTCTGATTACCTTCTGCCGCAATGGAGCCTGTAAAGTCTAACATCTGGCACCCATGAGGTGGTACCTCTGATTAGCCTCTTCCAGGGTGGGGTACGGGGCATTTATGCTATGTAGATGGGATTTTCCCATAGATGAGAGGAAGCTCTCTCCTTCTATCCATTTGGAACTCCAGGAGTGGCATTCCTTGCCTCTCCACATGGTGTATTTTGTTCTCTTAACTCTCCCAGATGATCACATTTGGATTCTCAGAATCTTCCTGATTTCCATGAAAGCTCGGTCACAGTACCTTAAGCTCAGTTGGAGAAACAAAGAAGTGAGGTTAATCATCATGTTTGCTCATTTCCCCTGATGTAGACTCATCATACCCTTTCATAAAAGCTTCAGAGGTCATTAATTTGACAAATGATACTGGCTTTGCTTTCTGCAGCCTCGACAAATGCTGTTTAACTTGTTGGAGGAAAGGCTAGTGGCACTGTATGAGCAGGGCGATAATGCCTCTTTGAACAACACAAAGCAAACATTAAGTCAGCAGACATTGGGGGAAATCAAGTGTGCCCAAGTAACGGGGCGCATTTCCCCAAGCACAGTTGATTCTCATGCTATAAGATAGTCTTCCTCACCCCAAAAATCTGAGTAGCTGGCACTTCCTAATGATTCAGACCATTCTGTGTTTCCATATAAATGGCATTTTTGCACAGTTTGCTTTATTAACTTGAGCAGGAATGCTGCATGGTACAACTCCAGGGGGCACCATTCACACTGTCTTAATGTAAATAATGAGTCCTAGTCTTAGAATGTCTTGGCTCTCCCGGATGGTATTGAATGCTTTCATAATTATCACTAAAGGAGGTTTCTATATGATTCAGAACCCAAAGTTAATGAAGTCTTAAAAACCTGAAGGAACTGAAAAATGAAATATATCCTTTGGGTTCCTGAACCTACTTTTTGAAATGTTGTGGTACATTGAGGTGAAATGTTTCCAAGGATAAGTGAGGCCTTAGGTTCTGTTCCCCCTCTGCCACTTACCGTGTGACTTTTGGCAAGCTATAATGCACAGCAAATGAAAGGCTTTGTCATGATCGATACTTGTTGGGCCATTTTGCTCAGCGTGTTTGAAATGGCCACATGCCAACATTTCATTGAGGTAATGTGTTGAAGCAGAGAAGTTCAAGTGATAGCCAGCATTTTCAATTGTAATTTTGAAAAGTGTAATTGAGAATTGAAGGGGACTTGGAATGAAATTTGTGTAATGCTGTGTGTAAACAGACTTGTACGCCACTCTTCCCGTAACGCCATTTGGGTGTCATCCGATATGAGAGCTCACTGAAGATGTCACATCGTGAAGATTACTATGCTTTTTGCAGGGAGATTTAGTAGATCTGGATCTTGAGGACTCAAGAGATTATGTTCTGGCCTAACCTCTCTCCTCCATCCCTTTGCCTCATCAAATGAGTTTCAATGTGAACATGGATAGAATGCCATATGGCTTCTAACATCTGCGGTCTGAAAGAAGCAGGCTCCGTTTCACATGCGCGGAGGCATAAATGGAGCTTTGACCTTCATGATTAAGGATCACAGAGAGCATTTTGTTTTATTATTATGTCTTGCATTTCTCTCACATCTCACACAGCCTTGCTTTTTTCTTTTCGTTTTTGAGACGGAGTCTCAATCTGTTGCCCAGGCTGGAGTGCAGTGGCATGATCTCCACTCACTGCAACCTCCACCTCATGGGTTTAAGTGATTTTCGTGCCTCATCCTTCCAAGTAGCTGGGGCTACAGGTGCCCGTCACCATGCCCAACTTCATTTTTGTATTCATATATTCCTTCTCAACAAGCATGTATTGGATAATTACTTATTAACAGCCTTCTCTGTAATAGGCACTGTGCTGGATCCTGCCCTAGAGGTGAAAGGGACAGTTCCTACCCTGAAAGAGTTTATGGCCAAGGAGAGAAACAAAGGAACAAATACATACAATGCCATAGGCAGAATTAAGCTTAGGGAGCATTCCCACGGCAACTGCGGTTTCTGGAAAATGGTTGTCACTTGTTACAGGGGTCTCCTTCAAGTAAGTGATAAAATCTAAGCTAAGCATGTACACACTCATTCACTGGAGTTCAAATCACGTTTCCTCTTAGAAGAGGTAGCATGATGAGTAAAACAGCACAGGGCTGAGAGACAGAACAGGTGGTTTCTAGTTCATGTTATGCCATTTACAAGCCGTGTAACTTTAGATAAGTCACCGAACCATCTGAGTCTCAGTTGCTTTAACAACTAAACAATATAAATACAAGTACTTTGTAAAATGTCAATCTCTATATGAATTTTAGAGACTGACATCAGAAAAACCTTCAGTTTGCCACATGCACACAATATATAGCTGAAGAATGGTAAGCACAACTTTTACTTTGGGCCTGATTTTGTCCCTGAAAGGACACTTTTCTTAACTATACACATAAATCATATTGTGATATCCAAAACTATTCTTTTTACCTAAGTCTCCAGTCACAAGACAATTAGCATGCATTTTAAACTCTCAGTTTGTACATTAACGTGGTATTAAAATCTCTACAGATCAGCCTAAGGATAATGTTTCAGAGAATGGTTTTTCCCGAGGTGTGCGTGCGAGTGGCAAGGCTACACTTTGCTTTGATGTTACTGCGCACAGAAAAGGCAAGTTCTTCTGTGCGCTTTCCATACACCACACACCCACATTTGATTTACTTTTTAAATGACTCACCACTAACAATTCAATATGACTTTTGCTATCTTAGAAGTCTAACATCTTGGGATTATAACTTTCAAAAAATAATTGCACAGAGCATGAATGCTCATATTACTTTCTAAACCCTGGTAAGATATTGGTATAAGGATTAGGGGTTAAAACATGTATTAAAATCAGTGTTCCTCTCCGCAATATTATACTTTGTTGAAATTTATTGAAGCACCGTAAAGAAAAGGAAGAGGAAGGAAAATTGCAATTACTGAGTACTTATTGTGTGCTAGGACCTGATCTAGGGAATTAACATACATATATTATCTTATTAACACAATTCTCACAAGGGAGATAATGTCAGCTGTATCTTTTCTGGATGAAGAAACGTTCAGAGAAGTTAAAAAATTTGTTGATGTTCACACAGGTAGTAAGTGGAAGAGTTGAAGTTTGAATTCATATTTGTCTGATTATAAAGCCCTCCCCCATTTTTACCTAAAAATGCTTCCCTTTCTACATGTATAATACACGAACATTGAACTGCCGTCATATAAAACGCTGTACCAGTTTTACTTCCCTTCCCAAGGTGAGCTACGAAATGACAAAGACAGCAAGACTCTAGAATTGAACCACTTGCACATATGAGTATTTTGAAGTATGATACCCCTGAAGTCTTTCTGGAAAAAGATTATTCAAGGACTTACTTTAAGAAAATAAAAAATATATTCACGGGATAGAAAAAAACAGTAACTTACGGGTCAAAAGCCTATGGCTTAACAAAAAAGGAGTCCAACTTCAGGTAGGATGGTTCCAGGTACCTAAGCAGTGCCTTAGGTCCTGGTTTCTCTTCATCTATCACTAGATACTACCTTGGTATCACCTTCAGTAAGCTTTCTTCACTAGATGACTTCCACAAACATCAGGCTTTTGTCCCCCAGAGTTAAATATAAGAAAGAGGAACTGTCTTCTAAATTGCAAACGAAGTCTTGGGCCTGATTCTTATTGGTCCAAATTGCATCATGTGCTCATTACTGAGACAATTAATCTGGCCAAAGGCTATTGATCCTCTCTTCAGCCAGTCTGCAGTCCTGCAAGTGCCCTAGAATTCGGGGAGAGGGCAGGAGTAGAAGTAGGTCCAACCAAAGCAAATGGACTGAGACAGAGAGGAGTGAGTCCCCAAAAGAAAACCAGATTCTTTTCAACAGAAGAAAAGGGAATAGATGCAAAGCATTAAAAACAGTAATGTCTGGTGACTATGGTCAAAAATAATTTAATTGTACATCTAAAAATAACTATAAGAGGCCGGGCGCAATGACGATGGTCAAAAATAATTTAATTGTACATCTAAAAATAACAAGAAGAGACTGGGCGCAGTGACTATGGTTAAAAATAATTTAATTGTACATCTAAAAATAACTATAAGAGGCCAGGCACAGTGGCTCATGTCTGTAATCCTACCACGTTGGGAAGCAGAGGCAGGTCGATCGCTTAAGGTCAGGAGTTCGAAACTAGCCTGGCCAACATTGTGAAACCCTGTCTCTACTGAAAATACAAAAAAATTAGCTGGGCATGGTGGTAGGCATCTGTAATCCCAGCTACTTGGGAGGCTGAGGCAGGAGAATTGCTTGAACCCGGGAGGTGGAGGTTTCAGTGAGCCGAGATCGCACCATTGTACTCCAGCCTGGGCGACAGAGCAATACTGTCTCAAAAAACAAACAAAACCTATGAGAGTATAATTGGATTGTTTGTACCACAAAGGATAAATGCTTGAGGGGATGGATATGCCATTTTCCACTATGTGATTGCTACCCATTGCATGTCTTATCAAGATATCTCATGTCCTCCATAAATACATACACCTACTATGTATCTCAAAAATTAAAAATTAAAAAAAAAAAAAACCGTAATGCCTCTACAATGAACTGACAAATCAGGAAAACTGTTAGTAAAGATTAAATAATCACTGATGATGTTAATGTAACATTTGATGCAATTTTTTTTTTTTTTTTTTTTTTTTGGGACGGAGTCTCGCTCTGTCGCCCAGGCTGGAGTGCAGTGGCCGGATCTCAGCTCACTGGTGAGTGGCAAGCTCCACCTCCCGGGTTTACGCCATTCTCCTGCCTCAGCCTCCTGAGTAGCTGGGACTACAGGCACCCGCCACCTCTCCCGGCTAGTTTTTTGTATTTTTTTTTTTAAGTAGAGACGGGGTTTCACCATGTTAGCCAGGATGGTCTCTATCTCCTGACCTCGTGATCCGCCCGTCTCGGACTCCCAAAGAGCTGGGATTACAGGCTTAAGCCACCGCTCCCGGCCCATGCAATTGTTAAATGTTAATGTACCAACAATTTGTAAATAAAATTCCAGATGTTTTTAGCACAGACTTGAGGCTCAGTAAATATTTATTGAATGAACAAATGAGATATTGAAAGGTTTAGGGTGGACGAGGCAAGGGAAAAGAGAAATAAGAGCATTCCAAATACCTTGTCTTGTTAAGGAAAGAGGTTGTAGATATTGAGTAATCTTGGTATTGATAGGAATATATACATTTAAATATGTTTGTTAATCATTCAAGGATAATCACTTTTGAAATAGTCAAAAGATGCAGAATTTGTAAATCACTAGATTTTTTAAAAAGGACCAGAGAAAATTTGATCAGCAAAGGTCAGATTGAGAAAGAAAAAGAAAGAAATCAAAATACATTTTAAGACTCAAAACACCAATGATATGAATGGGCTAGATTACATTATTAAAAAGTAAGTATTCCGTTTGGAGACAAAATCAGTTTTATGTTTTTACAAGGGACAAACTTAAAACAACACACAATAAAGGCAGGGATAAATAAAAATTAAGTAAGTAATAACAAAATAGAAAGCAGGAATTGTAAAACAAAGAACAGAATCAAGGGGAAAAACATTAAAGGGACATGGGATATTTTATAACCATAAATGATGAATTGATAAGATGTAACCATCATAAACTTTAAAATAAACAATAGAGCAACTAAATATCCTAAGCAAATTTTGTTAGACATACCAAGAGTAATTCTTTCAAAAATTGTAGGAAAGTTAAACTCATCTCTCAGAAATGGGAAAGTAAGTAAAAGAAAAATAATAGGAAGAACATAGAGGATATGAATAATAACATTTTACAACGTTGATTTTACATATTTGTTTTTTAAAAATCAAATCTAGCACTTACTGTATGACAAGCAGTATTTTGAATGCTTTATAAATATGAACTCATTTAATCCTCATAATAATGCAATGAGACAGAAATTTTACAGATTGAGAAATCAAGGCATGGAAAAATTAAATAACTTGCTTGAAGTCACACAGCCAAGTGAATGGCAGGACTGCATTTGTCTCCACAGTTCATGCTCTTAATTCGTGTACTCTAAGTGCACACATATATTGACCTTTCTACTCTGTGGTAAAGGCTATTTGGGCTCTCCATATTTGGTTTTCATCTTCTTGAGCTAATGGAAGACTATGTTTAATAACCCTCTTGTAGTAGGGAAGGGTGAAGTGATAGCCAATGAGTTAAATGCCAAAGCATTTAAAAGCTGGTATTTCATCCCAAAACTCTCTTCTTTCTTGGTGACAGCCATGGATTAAGATGGCAGAGCCACAAGATGGAAATTGCCTGAATCTCTGAGTAACAAGACAGAGAACCACATGGAGAGGAGTTGCCCTGGAGAGTCCCCCAATGTATGTTGAACTTAGAGTGAAAGTAAAATAAGCCTTTATCGTGTTAACATAATAAAGGGAGAATTAGTCATTGCAGGTGTGTTTGCTCTATCCTGACTGTTACATACCCCAAAATGGAAATGTTACATTATTTTCAAAGTAAATGGAACATCTGTAAAATTAGATGATGTGATAAGTCACAAAGAACATTCTCTTAAGTCCCCCTAAGTAGAAATCATACAGGCACATTCTTGGACTCTTGCACAATAAAGAAAACAATATTTTTAGGGAAAACTAAACATAACCACATGAAAATTTTAAAATAGTGAATAACTTTCTGGGAAAATATTAAATACTAAAACCAAGAAGAGGCAGAAAACCTTAAAAAATTAACATTCACATTGAAAAGGTAGTAAAAAAAACCTACTTCCGTCTTTACTTGAAAGCAACAGAAAATGGTGGGAGAAAAGCATATGCAGGAAGGAAGAAGGACTTGGAGTGCAGGGAGATCAAATTTACTTTTATTTATTGAGGTGAAATTCACATAACCTAAAATTAATCATTTTAAAGTGAACAACTTAGCGGCATTTAGTATATTCGTGATGTTGCACAACCACTACCTCTATCTAGTTCCAAAACATTTCTGTCACTCCAAAGTAAAGCCCCTTTTACCCACGAAGCAGTCACTCCTCATTCTCCCACTTCCTCACACCCTGCCTTTGGCAACCACTGCACTGTATTCTGTTTCTACAGATTTACCTATTCTGAATATTTCATATAAATGGAATCTACGACATGCAACCTTTATTACTGGCTTCTTTCACGTTGGGTAATGTTTTCCAGGTCCATCCATGTTGCAGCATGTATCAATGTTTCATTCTTTTTATAAGGAAGAATACTATTGTATGTATATACCACAAATTGTTTACCTCACTTATCTGTTGATGGACATTTGGATTATTTCCATGTTTTGGCGGCTGTGGATAGTGCTGCTGTGAACATTCTCGTACAAGGATTTGTTCGAGTTTCTGTTTTCAGTCTTTTGTGTGCGTACCTAGGGGTGGTAGTGCCAGGTCTTATGTTAATTCTGTGTTTAACTTTTTGAGGAACCAACAAACTGTTTCCTACAGTGGCTGAGCCATTTTACATTCCCACCAGCAAGATAGGATCCAATTTCTACCAGTTCTCACCAACACCTGTTCTTTTCCTAAGTTTACTTTAGAGCATGTGAAGATGCCAATGTGTCATGCACACAAGATAAATTATTGGATATAAAGGTCTAGAGTTCAGAAGGGAGATCTGAGTTTGAAACACACATTTTGGAGTTGTTCACATAACAAGGGTACAGGAAAGGAGGTGCAATTGACAAGGAAGAGGGTATAGACTGGAAAGAGAAAAGGGCCCAAATCCTCACCCAGCCAGAGGAACCCTGAATACCTGGAGGGAAGAGAAAGAGGAACTGCTAAAAGAAGGTTGAAGAGGATCTATCCAAAGGTTCCAACAAGTGAGAAACTGAGAGGTTGGAATGTGTCCCCTCTCAAATATGTTCTGCTGAAGATCTGAGGAGTGCAGCGAGGTGTCCTTTACCATCCATGCAGTGAGTACTTTCAGTTTCTCAAAAGCTCCATCTCTAGGTCAGAAAACTCCTTTGCCATAGGTTCCACAGATCAAAATGACAGGACACACATAAGGAGAAAGACCATTTCCCATCTGAATACTGCCCAAAGTGTCCAGTTTCAGTGCCTCTCTGTGGTAGGCAAAATAATGGCATCCCCAAATTGTCCATGTCCTAATGTCTAGAACCCATGAATATGTTATCTAACATGACAAGAGATTTTGCAAATGTGCTGAATGGATTTGAGACGGGATCATCCTGGATTATCTGGGTAGGCAGAATGGAAGCACAGGGTCTTTGTCACTGAAAGGAGGCAAAGACTTAGATTACAAGATGCCACATTGCTTGCTTTGAAGATGGACAAAGGGGCAATGAACCAAAGAATGCAGTGACCTCTAGAAGCTGGAAAAAGTGAGGGGAAAGATTCTCCCCTGGAGCCTCCAGAAGGTACCCAGCCCTGTTGACACCTTGATTTTTAAGTGTCAACTGCTAAGGCCTTTCCACCTCAGGGTGGGCATCCAACCTATTCTCTTGACCTCCTTGTGGATGTACTCATTAAATGAGTTGGCTCCATCTCTCTTCTTCAACAGGGGTGGTTTAAGCCCTCCTGTGGTCCCAACTTTAGGAAAGATATCTTTTTATTTTTAAATTTATTTTAATTTTTAATTTTTGTGGACATACAGTAGGTGTATGTACTTATGGGATACATGAGATATTTTGGTAGAGGCATGCAATGTGTAATAAACACATCATGGAAAATTGGGTATCCATTCCCTCAAGCATTTATTCTTTGTGTTACAAACAATCTCATTATATTCTTTTAGTGATTTTTAAATGTGTAATTAAATTATGATTGACTACAGTCCTCCTGTTGTTCTATCAAACACTAGGCCTTTTTCTTTTTTTCTGGTTTTTGGTACCCATTAACCATCCCCCACATCCCCCCATTCCCTGGACCTCCCACAATCCTTCCCAGCCTCTGGTAACCATCCTTCTATTCTGTGTCTCCATGAGTTTAGTTGTTCTGACTTTTAGATCCTATAAATAAGTGAGAACATGAGATATTTGTCTCTGTGCCTGGCTTATTTCACTTAATATAATGATCTCCATTTCCATCCATGTTGTTGCAAATGACAGAATCTCATTATTTTTTATGGCTGAATAGTACTCCATTGTGTATAAGTACCACATTTTCTTTATCCATTCATCTGTTGATGGACACAGGTTGTTTTCAAATCTTGACTATTGTGAACAGTGCTGAAACAAACATGAGAGTGCAGATATCTCTTCAATACATTGATTTCCTTTCTTTTGGGTATATACCCAGCACTGGGAGTGCTGGATCATATGGTAGCTCTATTTTCAGTTTTTTGAGGTACCTCCAAACTGTTTTCCATAGTGGGTGTACTAATTTATTATACATTCCCGCCAACAGTGTACAAGGGTTCCCTTTTATCCACATCCTCTCTATTTGTTATTTGTTATTTGTTATTGCCTGACCAGGGTGAGATGACATGTTATTGTAGTTTTGATTTTCATTTATCTGATGACCAAGGACGTTGTGTACCTTTTCATATGTCTGTTTGCCATTTGTATGTCTTCCTTGGAGAAATGTCTATTCAAATCTTTTGCCCATTTTTAATTGGATTATCAAATATTTTACTATAGAGTTGTTTGAACTCCTTATATATTCTGGTTATCAATCCCTTGTCAGATGGGTAGTTTGCAAATATTTTCTCCCATTCTGCGGGTTGTCTCTTCGTTTTATCAATTGTTTCTTTTGCTGTACAGAAGCTTTTTAACTTGATGTGATCCCATGCAACCATTTTTCCTTTGGTTGCCTGTGCTTGTGGGGTATTACTTAAGAAATTTTTGAGTAGACTGATGTCCTGGAGAGTTTCCCCAATGTTTTCTTGTAGTAGTTTCATAGTTTGAGGTTTTAGATTTGAGTCTTTAATCCATTTTGATTTGATTTTTGTGTATGGTGAGAGATGGGGTCTAGTTTCATTCTTCTGATGGATATCCAGTTTTCCCAGCACCATTTATTGGAGAGACTGTCCTTTCCCCATTGTATATTCTTGGCAACTTTGTCAATAATGAGTTCACTGTAGGTGTGTGGATTTGTTTCTGGGTTCTCTATTCTGTTCCATTGGTCAATGTGTCTGTTTTTATGCCAGTACTATGCTGTTTTGGTTACTATAGCTCTGTAGCATAATTTGAAGTCAGGTAATGTGATTCCTCCAGTTTTGTTCTTTTTGCTCAGGATATCTTTGGCTATTCTGGGTCTTTTGTGATTCCATATAAATTTTCGGGTTGTTTTTTCTATTTCTATAAAGAGCATCATTGGTATTTTGATAGAGATTGCATTGAATCTGTAGATTGCTTTGGGTAGTATGGACATTTTAACAATAAGGATTCTTCCAATCCATGAACTTGGAATAGCTTTCTGTTTTTTGGTGTCCTCTTTAATTTCTTTCATGAGTATTTCATAGTTTTCATTGTAGAGATCTTTCACTCCTTTGGTTAATTCCTAGGTACTTATTTTATTTATAAGTGGGATTACTTTTTAATTTCTTTTTCAGACTGTTCACCCTTGGCATACAGAAACGCTACTGATTTTTCTATGTTGATTTTGTATCCTGCAACATTAGTGAATTATTTAATTAGTTCAAATAGTTTTTTGGTGGAGTCTTTAGGTTTTTCCAAATATAGGATCATATCATCTGCAAACAAGGATAATTTGACCTCTTCCTTTCCAGTCTGGATACCCTTTATTTCTTCTTTTGTCTGATTGCTCTAGCTAGGACTTCCAATAGTATGTTGAATAATAGTGGTGAAACTGGGCATCCTTGTCGTGTTCCAGATCTACAAGGAAAGGCTTTCAGTTTAGGAAAGACATCTTTGACCTCAACTTGGTTCTGAAAGGTCTCTCCCTGACCATTATTTTTTATGGCATTGAAGTAAGAACACTGGATTTAAAATCAGACACTTTTGCTTGATTATTGATCATACTTACTAGCCTGTGCCAGAAGAAGATCTTAGAGCCACCCCTATGCTTCAGTTTCCTTATCTGTAAAATAAAAATGATATTTACCTCATAGAAGCATTATACAGATAAAAGAAAAATGCATAGAAAAGCTGTAAAGGTCCTGAGCTTTAAAGTACATCCATACTCAGCAAAAAAGAAAACAGGAAAGAAAAGGAACGCATCACTAATACCTGCAGCATGAAACTCAAAAGCATTATGTTAAGTGCCAGGAGCCAAAACTCTGCACATATTTCATTATTCCATTTCTATGACATTCCAGAGAAGGCAAAACTATGGAGACAGAAATCACATCGGTGGCTGCCAGGGGCTGGTTGTGAGCTGAGAGACTTGAGACAAGAGAACTTTCTCGCGGTGATGAAAATGTTCTATATTTTGATCATTTGGTGGTTACGCAACTGTACGTGTTTGTCAAAACTCAGAATTGTACACC